GGCTCGTACTCGGCGACAGGAAACGGTTATTTACCCTGTTGAATAGGACCAAAGCGAATGTTTTGAGTATAAGCTGCGTATATAAGCGCCAATAGGCTGGATGTCGACCAGTGCTAAACAGGTACTTTGCATCCAGAAGAGGACCCTTAGTTACTGCACACATATGCACAGATAAATATGATTTCAGAAATTTTCGAATCGCTAGGTATGTCTATTAGCCTCCTTATAGAGGGAGATTCGCAAAATCAATTTTACTTAGCAGCAACCATTGGTTAATAATCAATAGCGCGACAAGAGAGGATAATAATAATGATGCTCGGATTTCAAGTTTCCTTGAAAATTTTCGTTTACCTCAATGTATTAAAAAACCCCCCCCTGCAAAGCCCCTTGTCTTCGATAGAGGAGACGATACAACGCGTCATCTGAATTGGAGAGCTGACCGGAGCTTCCGACAAACTCAAGATTCATGTGCTCTTTTAGCGTGGGCTGACGGGACAGACGGGACGAGTAACCCACTTTCGAAGTAGCAGTGAGGAAATTCGATACGTTACCTGTAATTTTCCCAGGCTTTCAGTAAAATTTTTTAGATCAGCCAATAGTTGTACGGTATTTGACACAGTTATACCTCGATGCGTTTAATACGTGCGAAACTCAACCTCATCTGAGCGTGACAGGTATCATCGTCACTATTCTCAGCAAAAAGCAAATTTATGACGAGCTACATAGAACGTCTAATTCGTGTAATTGCCAATGACAAAATAGATCTGTGGTTCCCGTATACGTGGTTGTCATTACTGTTACGCTTGAAGAATAGTAAACAATATAGGTCGACTCTATTCTCGTAATGGCATATATTAGGGATCTATAGAGGTTGGTTGCAGTGACCTGTAAGGTAAAAACGGAAAACGCCGTCCCATACACCTGAGTATAGACCTCACGTATTTAGCGTTATTTTAATTAATGAAACGCATATCTCGACTGATACATATTTTTTTTTTAGTTGACGGACCTTTTTTAGTTGATAAATTGATTATAAAAGAAAAAATATGACTGAAGACGGGTGATTAGTAGCTTATTTACCAACCTATTTGCAAATATAAGCATTTTCAGAAAATCATGTACAGGTAGTAGCGTACGGAGCGTGACGTTTCCGTTCCCACATTTTCGAAAACGCAAGCTACCTTTAAAAGCTTAGCTATTTCCAAACTCGTTTCATTATCTCTTTATTTATGTCAATGCAAGATAGAAGATCTTTATTGTCTCAAGGATAAAACAAACACATATATCTCAAATCGACGCTACTTCTAGAATCATTATTTACGAGTTATTTATGAATTTTCTGGTTACTCGTTAAATCTTGATAGCCACAGTTTGTCTAACACGTAATTTTTTCGATGAAAAAAACTTGGTGGTGTATAAACGCAAAAAAGAGACGATGATCAGGGGGACTGTACGAGCGCTCTTAAATTTCTAGAATCATAATCTTAATAACTGAAAATAGGAGCTTGATTTTCAAAAGAGCGGCAATTGTGTGTGAAGCAATACCAATAGTATTACCTCTGGGTAAATCTGACCACTTGTTTTTATTATTCAGTACCAAAGGCAGGACATTTATCACCATTAATTGTATTCGTTGTTCTACCTTAAAAAAAGAATACGTTTTACGTTATTTTTTCTTATCATCGTTTGAGAGTTAGCGGCGTGCTATGGGGTTCTGTATCATGATCTGATTGTAAAGACAACATGCAAAGCAATAAGGCTTTAAGGCAGCTTTGAAGCCGTCCATTTCACAGATAACTAAATACGAATGAGTAGACCAACTAAACTCAAACCTCTTCTATTTAATTTCAATAAAATAACTGTTTTAATTATTTTAAGTAAAATAAACCTGTAAGACCGCAAGGCCATATAATTGTTATAGCTTACATAAGAAAAAAACAGGGCAACTATGTTAGCGTTCCGTCTTTCGCCCGAACAAGGAAAAATAAGCGCTAGAAATGCTAGTACAGGCCTATAACGAATTGGCCATACTGAATACAGTTGGCTAATATAGGAGCACGGCCACGTGACCTTTGAACAGCCAGTCTATTTTTTCGGTTCAGTTGTTACATCTGCTAAATAGAAGACTGCTAAATGTACCTTGAAGTTCCCTTATAATCCAAAATAGAATGCCGGTACCAAAAATCTACTTCTCCAGGAAAATGCAAGATTGTTCAAAGCTGTTAGAAGCTGTAATTCCTGCAATTTGCTACTGTTAACTGAAATCCATTACGGATGGATTTCTGGTAGCAGTACTTGGCTTAGGCGATCGAATGAATACACTAAACCAGCAGCAGCTCTACACTCAATGAAAATCCCCTATATAACGCCCTGCGTTGAATCGTTTTTTTTTTTTTTTTTTGTAGAATATGTTTTTTATTCGCGCAAAAAAATCAGCTAAATTAATCAGGATCTATGTCAAATAAGTTACGCTGATATTAGCTGATCTGGACGCTTTGACACCATATGTAGTTTTAAAGCGACGCGTTGAGTAAAATTAACAAAAAATATACATTGAATAAAATTCCATGAAACCTAGTGGACTAGCATGAGCGGTTCTAAATAAACGACTGACAATGTGCTGGTTAGATTTTAATAGTTTTTGTGGTATGCGGCCAATAAGTTTATAAATAGCGTGAGTGGGCATGGCCGCACATGACAGGACCCCTCGCATGTCAATACCATTAACCCAGCAGGTGAAACATTAAATAATCTATGCGTTTGCTCATCGAACTATCTATGATCACTTGTTACAAGAATAAATAAATTTGATAAATTATAAGCTGTCTTTCCATGCAGCTAATAGAGAGGTCTAATTTTCAGGTAGGCGGAAAAGTGGCCTTGATGGATGTCAAGGGCTTGGTCTCTTAAAGTATTCCTCGTTGCTACTATCTTACATTAACGAACACTGTGAGAACACATGAATACACGACCATGACGATTGATTGCAAAACCTCTATTGAATAAAGGCAATACCTTTGTAATAGCTCTATGTTTCGAGTTCTACGGCCGGTATCACCATTTGACATTTCATCGGACGGCTGGCTCCAAACATGAATCAAAATCTGTCTACGCCGGGTTCGAACCTAGATCACAATGTATCCCTAAGCTTAGCAACAAATAACACGTTGTAACACCTGTGTTACGCGGAGCTTCGAATAAATGCATCACAAAATGCATGCAGGCTTTCGAATGCTCTACCAAAGGTTAGCGTGACGGGCTCCATATGATGGAGTTAAAAAAGTTGCCGGCTCGTGATACTTAGGTATCCATATCTCCATAACAACTATTTATTGAATATACAAAGACATACGTAACTTTAAACTTTTAAAATTTGCTTGTTGGCTCCAGAGGTATTTAAGTGCGGCTAAAAAAAAGCTTGTCTGGAAAATTTCAACTGTCTCAAACGTTTTCCTACAATAACCTTTCGTAAGCGTGCTACGACACAGAAAGCAACGTCGGAAATTTCAAGTTAGTTTCAACTTCCCATAATAGAAGTTAAAGACGGCCGTATTCTTAATTTATAAAGACGTCAAAATAAACATATCTAACATTACATATAACAAAAAATGAGTATGTTTTTTTTTACGAAAGCCACGGAAATACAAAGTTTTATAATTAATTATAAAAATATGATATACACAATTAACGTAATATACCTTTAAAACTAATGTTTTTTAATATCAATAAATAACGTGTCCGATCGTCTACGTCATATAGATCGACAGGCAGCTAATACTAAACGAGGTTTATTACACAAGTGGCTTTTACTAAGCAACTAAACCAGTCTTTGGCAAAATAGCGTTATCACCATTTTCTTTAATTAAGAATTAATATTATCAATATATTTTTGATTGAATAATGGCAAATAGTTAATAATATATAAATCAAATAACATAATATTGTTTGCAGATTACGTACCATCGTGCCATAAGAGTACAATAAAAATATGCATGCGAAGAAAAATTATACGAATAATAACAGGTGTAGCGCCAAGAATGTGCCCGAAATAATGCTACTTGAAAAGGCCTGGCACAATTAGCTTTGATGTCTTTTATCGAATGGGAGCAGGAACAGCAAAAAACACAGTGTCGCGCATCCGTCGAATATGTGCCAGGCTCCTACCAACAACAACAGCACTGCTTTCTGCAGTACTACAATCTTCTGACTGTGCCGTCCGGCCAATGCTAGCAGCAATAACCTGTCAACTGTTGGTCAGACGATTCCTGCAGCAGCAGTAGTTACCAACATTTTTTTCAACTGTATGAACCCACCGAAGCATGCAAGCGATGGAACAACTAGCAAAGCTATCAGTCATGGCAAGCCATGAACTCACACTGTCCCAAAGCCATCTAGTGCTTGCGTTGACTAGAGCAGCAGATAGCCGCACATTAGCCAGCAGCATCTGGTAAGCTACATACAGAATCGACTCGAGGGGTCAACCAAACAGTTGACCTTTTCCTTTCTTATAAAGAACAAGTAGCGACAACTGTTGACCGGCGAGTCCGGCCGTTCCGTTTCTGTTAAAAATCTACCCTATATTTCGCCGTGGTTCATTACTTACAACCACTATATCAACTAGCGTATCTTTACAGCAGAAGCTGGTACTACAGTGCACTGGAGTTTTGCGGTCCAGGCCAATCCAAGCTATGACCCTTCTACGCAGCTCACCATTGCTGCTGCTTTTCACAGCTAGCTTTTCACAGCTAGCAAGCACAACCAGCCACAAACCTTTAGCTGAGATGGCACTGTGAGAGGGCAAAAGTCAGAAAGAATAAACAAGCTAATTCGTTCCGTTGAAAAAGAGGCACTTAAAAGATCTTTATCAAGTTCTCACCCGCCTTTCACTTACTCTGTGATCTATTGAAATACTCCTCTAGCCACAGTAAAGTAGGCTTCTATCTGTTGGCAGTGCGTACGCACGCACGGTACAGTTAGTGGACCAAACCGAGGTCTTCATATAACCTCATCATTGACAGAAGCGAATCGCCCGTTAAAGGTAACCTGCTCTCAGCGAAATGCGTCCATCCGCCGGCTAAAACACGGAACGCAGCTGAGGTGTGGCTGGAGCAACGGGTTTGCCTGTGCCGCTTCTGACGTGGTGGTCGCTGCTTTGTTGTGTGGTAATCGGTGTCCAATCGCTCGATGGCTTCTCGGTGAAGCTCGTTTTTATTGAAAAGCTCTCTAATATAAAAACAGACACTGAGGCAGAGACGCTGTTCACGTTCGTGTTTAGTGATCGCTGAGCGAGTGAGGTGCAACTGCCAGACATCCGAGGAAAAAGGAGGAGATCTTTGACACAATTTACACATCAGCAAATATTCTGATACAATAACTTTACACATGCCAGGGCTACTGCTGGTTGGCAGTTCGAACATCCTCTGCTGTAGCCTTCGATTTTGGACAGTTTTTAATAGAGCCACAAAATACATTTTGACGGCTCGAAACTGCTCTAGAGTCTACTATTTCTAGTACAATTTAGTGTTGTAAGTGAGATCTTGATCGTTCTGCCGTGCAGTTTTTACTAGCGAGCAGCTGGGTTTAACGCGGCCGACTGGCGTGAGCTAAGCACGAATTGTACGTTTCAACGAATGTGAAACTGTCGAGGTAACGGCTGGTCATCTCATGAAGGATGCCGGGGCTCCCGAGAATCATCTGATGACGAGTGAAGAACATACGACTGTCAAAAACGCAGCCTATGACTGGTGATTGTGTTTAGTTAGCGCATACGTAGCTGTGTGACAGGTGCACAACACCAGCAATAACGGCGAAAAATTACCTACGTCAACGGCATTCATCAGAGTGAGCAAATGTGGGCGACGACTGTGACTGAAACATAGCAAACTAACTGTTGGTAGGCCTCAGTGTTGACAGAGAAGTGGGTCGTACTCGTAAGGGATGTGCCTTCGTACATGAGTCTGTTTATGCTTGTCTATTGGTGTCTGTATGGGTGTCTTTACGTCTATCTGTAAAAAGGTGCAACCGTGCTTGTTTTGCCAGTGTGGTAAGAAGATTGAGATTTGGCCAAAATAGAAGTGTGGACTAATATCGAAGAGAATAGAATAAATCGTTAAAAAGAAGAAACCGAGCTAGGTGGTCGCTAGGTGACACCCACTAGGCAGAAAATCAAGGATCCGATATTGATAGCAACGAGAAATTAGTAGCTTATAGACGCGAATAGGAAGTTGCTATCCAACCACGACTACTCGCTTCAAGACTAGCTAGCAGCCATGGCCGGTGCTGGGGATTTTGGTAATCCGTTGCGCAAGTTCAAGCTCGTGTTCCTTGGCGAACAGAGCGTCGGCAAAACGTCACTCATTACAAGATTCATGTATGATTCGTTCGACAACACATACCAGGCCACAATCGGCATTGACTTTTTGTCGAAAACGATGTATCTTGAAGATCGCACGGTGCGACTGCAGCTATGGGACACAGCTGGACAAGAGCGGTTTCGCTCCCTGATTCCATCTTACATTCGAGACTCGACAGTAGCCGTCGTCGTCTACGACATTACCAACGCCAATTCGTTCCATCAAACATCTAAATGGATTGACGACGTGCGTACGGAGCGAGGCACCGACGTAATTATTATGCTCGTCGGCAACAAGACTGACCTGTCAGAGAAGCGGCAAGTCAATACGGAGGACGGCGAGAAGAAGGCGAAGGAACTACAGGTGATGTTCATTGAGACATCGGCCAAGTCGGGCTACAATGTGAAGCAGCTGTTTCGGCGAGTGGCCAACGCACTGCCAGGAATGGAGAGTGAGCGGAGCAAACAGGACATTGTTGACGTTGACCTCAAGGATGGGCCAATCGAACAACCGAAAGAAGACGGGGGCTGTGCCTGCTAGACATGGCCAACATCACCGTACAACAACTATTATTATTACTCGAACGAAATAAAACCAGTAAAAGCCATCATAATAACAACACTAGCGATAAAACATAATAATATTAATGATAATAACAATAATAATAATAGGCAAAAGTCTCATTGTAACACCGCAGAGGCACCAAGATGGACAGAGAAACAAACTGGCCAAAAGAAAGAAAGCCTATGCCGCCACACTGCTTAATTATTGCTACCCCTTCAAAAGGTGCTTGCTCATGAAGAGAGCGTGGGCACATTTATTGTTAGGACGACGGGCATAGCTGTTGCAGTACTTCGGTAATACCGGTGAAAATGTATTGACTCAGCTTCAACTTACTGGCATAACGCAGAGCAGTGAAGCTAATTAACATAGCCAAGAGGACAGAGTTGATAAACAAGTCCTGTCAGCTAACGATCAAGCCGGTTTTGTAGACCATAGCAAACCAATATGAGAGTAACGGGAGTTAAAGGCAGCCAATGGCGGCCTCGGAGAAAGCAGACGGCCACAAAGAAAAACACCAACCCAGACCTAGCCTATACCCAACAAGAGACACGGAGGCAAGACACACGACCACGATTATACGCAACGTCCGTAACAACCTCATCGTATCGGTCAACAATAGGCTGTACAATAGGACAACAGAGATGGAACATCCGCGAAATACAAAAAAATATCATCTCTATGGTGTTATCTATGAAGAGTTCTCGGCATCAGTTCTAAAGTTAAATTGTTACGCAACAAAAGATAATACACAAATTCTTACAACAATTGTTTAAATAAGCTTGAGATCGTGACAGCATTTTTTAATAATAACAAAAGCAGCTGACGAGGCACATTCCAAAAAGACTAGAGGCGATCAAAAAATGAGGTAGCAGTTAGTTTTAAAGGGACCGCAATTTGATTTATAAAATGGAAAAATCGATGATCTCGATGCACTGTCGCGCTTCTCTGTGCAGCAGGCTTCGACTCCGCGGACCTGCTAGGCAATGGAGAAATGGTGTAATATTAGAGAACAAGCGCATTGGAGTACAATAATTTGAGCTATTCCGTTTCGCTACGTATACTCAGATTGCGCTGCATTTTAACAGCTACGTCCCGTGAGGAAGCAGCACTACGTTTCGGATACGCACCCCCAGCGATGACCAACTACCGGCGATTCTGGTCATCCAATAATAACAACAACAAGGATAGTAGCAACGTTAGCTTCCAATAACAATCTGTCTCAACTGCCCATTGATGGTTGTCTATATACTCTTGTCAAGTATATACGCGTGCGGCTGCTAGGTGGTCCCTGTATCAATTAATTTCATGATATCCGATTCGAAGCGGAGGCGAATCAGACACTGGGGTACTTGCTTTTTGGGTTTGAAATTTGAAATCTGCTACAGGGCGTGTTTGTTCCTGCGGCTAAGTATTGGGCCGGTGAGAGAGGAGCAGCTTGACAACCTACGAACGAATCTATTTGCCGCAAAGAAAATTTCTAAAAAAGTGGACGAGAAACTCTTGACGAAAAATTGTAACGGTAACAGCAGACCGGTCACCATATGGATTTGACAATATCGATGAGTCGAATTTGATGTACGCAGTTGAAGCGCGCTGTGTCAGACATGATGCGATGTTCGTTGGCCCCTGTCTTCATTGACCTTCATATGACATGCTAAGATAAAAATGACGACGGCCTGCAGTTCGGATTGTATATAAATAATCTAGTTAGAGAACACACAGATGGTGAATACGTGGTATATATATATATGTATTATCAAATATGCAACATGAAGGTGATCAGTTGACGGAACGAAACTAATATTAAAAACGACAAGCAAGTCAACAATAACTATAACAATAACAAGTATTTGTTAATATTAGAGAAGCAGCATAACTTACACGTAGAACAAGAATTAAGACAATTATATCGATTCGTTTATTGTAGTGATATGGATCCTTTTCGTTTGTCTTCTAACTTTCTAATATATACTGTTATGCATGACATACACACGAACGTACATAGGGATTTTTTCCATTCTTATCATTTGTTGGGTAGCCTTTCGAATTAGTGCGCTAAGTAGTTCGAGGTTGTAGTTGGGCGACGACAGAGCAATTGAACGCCTGATGTCTATCGCTCGACTCGTATATGGAAAGGTTATTCAGTAAAAAGAGATGTTTTTGAGATGAAACCATATGTTAGACTGCAATTTTGACTATCATATACAAGAAGATAACTCATTGTCTTATAGAAACGTTTGTTAAAAACGGCCACCTAAAAGGAAAATTAGGCCTGCTGAATGGCATTCTGATAATAGATGCTTTCATATAAAACAAGACTGTCATTTTGAAACTTCATTAAAAAATGATTCAAGTGTTTGATTTTTTTAGAACAGCACGTGTCCACTGCTTACTCGTAGTTTGGCTAATTTGTGTTTGTGTGCTGACTGCTTAATGCTTGCTAGCGTCAGTCATCCGTTTATTTCAGTCAGCGTCGTAAAGCCAGCCTACCAGTTACGGCGATGTATTTTTCAAATCTGGCGCCGTAGCCCCGTGCTAGGCCCGTCTGCATTTCGCTCTACTTTAATGCTCCGTATACTGTTGAAACGGTCCATTTTGACAAAGGCACGTATCCATGTGTTACTAACTGCAGCTAGCATTCAGTAGAGTCATATCTCTTTATATATAACATGTAACAAAACCGGGCTAGTGATTTACTCAGCAAAGTACTACTAAAATGTTTTTCTTTGTTATTTTTATTACAATTGTGTAAGTAATTTAGCTTCAAAATGCACGAATACCTTAGTTTTTGTAGCTATCAAATCATGTTTGTCTATTATATTCTTCAATCATCTGCATGAGGTCAATCTAATTGTGTTCAATTTAATATTGTTATTGTTAGTTAGAATAGAAGCTAAAAGTACTGTGGGATCGACAAACAAACACGAGTCGGATTGCGTTTGATAATACAACAGTGTGACTATATGAGTAATAAATAGTAAATGCAAACGAAGACGCGTACTTGGCTTTATACGTTTATACAGTGCACATGGTACCCACAGAGGGAAACGCATTTTTGATAAATAGCTTTTATTGTGTTCGAGTATGTGTGGAAAGTAACAAGAGATGGATATGAAGACGTTACAATATGTGGCGGACGACCAGGTGCTCACGGATCCTGCTTGTATCTTTTGAGCAACATGGGAGCTGTAGGGGTTCTCCCTGCTACTGTTAAGTTTTCTTACAGAAGCGTTTCCCATCAAAACTGCGGCAGTAGAGTATCGGCAACGACAAATTTTTTAGCAGCTCTTCAGGGAATAAATACAAAATTGGATGAATAAGGAAGAAGGTGTAAAACAAACATTGAGTTTAGCAGGAAAAACAATGGAATACGAAGTATTGCCGAAGTATTGCCGAAGTACAAGTTTTAAATGGAGACAAAGTAGACCTGGGCTAGCCATCTTTTCGAAATAGAGCTGTCTCACAAGCTACAAGAGAAGTGTTGAAGTCATCAGGACAGGGCAAATAATCAAGCAAGCTGATTAGATGGAGAACAATACCTCAGTATCGACGCAAAAAACTCAACCTTGGTGATGATTCGAGCGAGAGCCAGATGAATGCTTGACCAATTAAATTATCTGAGATAAATATCGTACTATGAGCAAATCTCTAGAAATGCAAAATATCAAGCACATCAGCAACAGCACAAGCGATTGTGGCCTTAACGGTCTAAAGAGAAGTTAGGCGCACTGCGAAGCTGGATTGAGCCTTGTGAGATGAAAACTGCGACCTATACAACTGTGTAGAACTAGCAGGGAATTACCAAGGGTGAGTTTGGCTATATATTCAAATACTTATATGTAATGGGGTGGATATATTGTATTACGATAGATACGAGCCAGTGGGAAAATTCGACGAAAGAACATTCCGAGCAGACAGGTGAATATTCCAGAGCGAATGATTGCAGCAAATGGCATACAGACGTATTGCGTAACGCAAAGAATACTGGTTTGTAATAGATAATAAACAGCGTGCTAGTAAGGCAAAAGTGTTAGATGTATGCTTGGATGAAACAAGCCTCACCGTGGATCCGGTTCAGGCCGAGTCGACTGCACAAACGCGAGAAGGGAGTTTAGGAAGCATGGAGCGTATACGTGGAATAGAATTAAAAACGTGGATTACATCGAGACGCATCAACAAGGACTAATTACACGAAACTAGAACAACACCATTTCAGCTTTACATTGTTAATTGAAATAAGAGAAAATAAGGAATCTCATAAGAACATATATATATATATAGATATATACTATTAAAGGGTAGCGTTGTGTAATAATGATAACAGTAATAATAAGCAATGCCGAAAAAAGTTAATAAAACCGTAAAAATGAATATAATGATTAGTTCTATTCACATTAAGATATATTTGGTACAAACGTATAAACAACCAATTAAGCCATTACTAATACAAAAGAAAAGGACCAGCGACAAAACAAAAATAACACGCAGAATACTCATATAGTATCAGGACTCTGTAACTAAGGAAAAATGACTAGGATAAAAATAAAAAATATGAAAATTATTATTATGAACAAAAAATGAATATTTGAGACACATTAAAATCGCTTAATGAACGATGTCACACGTGGGAAAGTCTTACGAGCAGGCAGCGATGTCAACTATTGATGAAATAGTCAAAACAAGAAGATTATATCCTTGAAACATATGTGAACAATTTACTAAGCGTTAAAGGTACATATTAATCGGTGATTTTTGGTAAGACCTTGTGCGGACAAGATCCTGTAAAGTGATGGCTATTGAGAAAACGGAAAGGAAAAACCCGATAAGGTAGGCGCTTTGTACCTACCACAATGATTTCAAAAACCGGGTCTAGATTCCGCCCAAACCACTTTCGTGTATTTGAGCCCTTGTGGAGCAATAGAACGCATGTAAGGTCGGTTTCAATAAAAAAAAAAAAAAGAACAATTACTTCGCCAAGATGTATGTGATTATATCTTCATTCAGGCAATAACCATACATGGAACAGCTCTCTTCATTTTAGATCCTACAAAGTATTTACTTTCTGTATAATAATTATGGTTTTGTAATTATTTTCCTTTGTTATTTGACTAGTAAGCAGGAGGACTAATTAAAGGAAGCATGATTAAAAATCGCATAGCTTTTTGTAGTGGTAGGAAAATACGCCTAAGAGCAATACCTTGCTGTAAAATCGCATGTAATCATAATTCACATAACACTCACGGGCCGTATGTGTCAATATCGTATTTGAAAAACAAGATTTTAACAGGGTGCAGACTGACTGGACAACGTGAGCCATGTTGATAAGAAACATTGAATATGTACCACTCAGTAATACAATTTCTTAATGATAAAAAAGCATTCTGGAGATGATGAAAACAAAATAACAAATATTGTTGCCAGTCGATGTACAGTTTTAAAGGCTGTCTATTTGCTGTTTACATTCATAAAAGGGTCTACTTCGCAAAACATTAAGCTACTGACGGTGTTTCTTTTTGATGTTTCCACTTTATATATTGTGACCTGTATGCAACACATGTGGCATATGATAAATAGGCTTAGGAAATTGCAATGCGCAAAAAAAAGGCGCGAAAACATAAAAACGAATTTGTGTCCCTTCCTTGAAATTTTTTTCAAATCTCTTTTTTGAACAACTATTTAACTTGAAGAAAATCTAAAAAGTTCAAGGTCTCTTGATTTTAATATGCATCGAACCGTATTGTCTTTAGATTTATTCTCCTTCGATGCTTTTTTTCACACAGCTAAGCCATGTCCCCGATCTATTAGCGGAATTTGCACATAAAATTTACCTCGTAAGGACACATCTCATCAGCAAACTTTGCCTCTATTCGTGAAAGTTAAGGTACCTCGACACATACTTGAAGAGGCGATTAAATACGTGAAGAATCAACACTTAAGTATCTTTACCTAATGGAAAAGTTTGTCGGTTCTCATTGTGTGAACAGGATGAATCAATGCTCCCTTCTCAGCGCAGCTGCCCCTGGGCGCGCTTGCTTTGGGTCTACACCTGCCCTAAAATATCACTACTAATCCATATACTAACACAATTAGTTACTACAACTCATCACGTTTCCTAACTACGGCTCTGGACCGCGACGAAACAAAGCTTAACGGACCCCGAATTCGATGTATGTACGTATACATTGAACGTGCGCTGTTAACACTTAACGCGACAGCTTTCGAACTGAATAGATGTATACGATGCTATACATTGTTTTCGATTATTTGATAGCGTTCCGCGCGCACGGGTGAGGACTGACATGAGGTGACATAGCGAAATAACGAGCGTGCATCGGTTGCTTTAAACGAAAGGTAAATGGTATAACGTTTTGTCAGTTTCGACTGTTTACCCGCATGCTAGCCTTTCTCAACTACGTTAAGCAGAAATCTTAGCTTTCGTTGCTCTAATGCTCGCAACCTGTTTATTACAGTTATTTTACTGTCGATACGTTATTCGAGGGTATTTTGCATAGTTTTTCTTAGCTGTAATTCTAGGCTATACGTTTTTTAAAAACGCATTTCTTTAAATAGATTTTCTAAGCTACTGCTGTCGTTATTCTAGTTTTTTTTTTACAGCTATGGATCTAGTATGAACCGAAGCTAAGCTCGCCTGGAAGGTAATAAGCTTTTTATCTGTTTCATAACCGTAAGAACTCGTATATTTACTTGGAATCAATTCAAATTTCGACGAAATTTCAGTAGCCATAGGTTCCAAATAGGACATCATATATTCATAATGAAACTACACAAGCACTGAGTAAGATAATAAATATTTTTAGCTGAGTTAACACTTGAGCCACTTTGCTCGCAGCGGTGCTTTTGTGCCGATGTCTTTTTTATGCTTCCTACACTTTAATCATTTACTAATAGTTAGATTTAGTTCTCAGAAAATACCAGTTTCGTGAAGTGTTGAAGAGCACAGTGGCTATAACCGATGTCGCGATCTGCAGAGTGCATTACGGTGTATTTTTCTATGTAAAGTTGGAATTGCGAAAATGCGGCCGCCTTGCTGAGCGATTAGGAACCGATTGAAGTAATTTTTTCATCTCAAACTTGTTTGAGACTCCGTATTGTTACGCGTCATGTATGTATATGTGCGCGTCTCAAGCTTACTTCTGTTAGAGAATGTTTTAGAGGCATACATAGACTTAAGAACAGTTCTTTGAAGGCATGCTGACGACATAGTGCCTAGCGTCAAATACGAGTTAAAAAACCTTTACCTGGTTATATTGTGAAATTAATTCCTGTATTCAACTAACAAATACGGTGTAGGCTGCCATCACTGAAGGAATTTTTAGTGTTTTTCTTTATACGGGACTAACTTCAAGTCGAAAGGGAGTCGAAGTGACGCGCGACAAAATAGACTGATTAACTGTAGAATAGGATCGAGCCGTGTAGAGCTTCCAGAAGTTGGAGCGTACAAAACTCTCCCGGCCCCTACGGGAACTGCTTATGGGAAATCAACCCAAAATCGTATATATGATAGACATTCGTCTAGTCCATTGAAGTTCGATCGTTACAGCTACGATGAAGATCCTGAGAATGCACACAAGCAGCGTGTGTGAGTATGCGTCTGACAGCATCTGTACATGAACTGGAAAATATTTCGGGTATAATAGCATAAAATAATGTGCTTATCTTTAGTTGAATCGTTCAAATAAACACCTCAGCAAAGTATCCGCTGGCCTCAGTGTATCTGTACTTATACGCACAGAACAGCCCATATATTTTACATACAGGGGAGCATAGACCAGAAAGAACAACATGTAGATATATAGAAAAGCCGAAATCACACCTCCGCATCGATATTACTGAGCTGCAAAAAACATCTATTATACGTCAAATATGGCCTCCGTTATAGTAGCCATATGTTTTCAGCCAGACAGCGTTGAACTTTCCGTTGTTGCTATTTTAGCTGGACAAAGCCCTTAACAACTACACTCACTGACAGTCTATTTAGAACTTTGGGTTGTCTACACCGTGAGACGCGGCCGTTGGCGGGAACCACCAGAAATAGTTGAAGTCATCGCATAATAGGCTATAGCCCCAAGCCTTGTAGCGTTCCCTGGTGTTGAAGCCACCGCAGTCGCTAATGCTGAATCATCAGATCGAGCTACGCCAGCTACGCAATGGCGGTAGAAATCGTTGCTTGCTGATTGTCGTCTTGCTGTTCGCTGACATTTGGTGCTCCACCACTGCCCCGCCAGCCCTTCCTTTACGGTGTACTTGAGCTGCAGTTATTACCTGCGGCCTGCTGCTGCGACGGCGGCGCTTACGGGTAATGCAACTGGCTTTTGTCGTAGGTCGGCTGTATTAAAGTGCCGTGTAACTATCGAGCAATGGAGCTTTGCTAATTGTTACGAGCTGGTGGCGTGGCTGTAGCACGCAGGTGTACCGTGCAGCCGCTGCTTTTAATAAGTTGAATGCTTTTCGTTGAACCGCAGACACAGCAGTGGCTGTGTTTGCGTTCGTGGGGGTAGAGAGAAGTTGTTGCCTCTGTCCTTCTGTTTGTCTCCAAAAAGTAAATGACGAATTTGCATCACATAGATTTGTGCAGACGTACGCACGCACACACACACACACACACACACACACACACACGCACATACACACACGACAAGTGTTGCGTAAAGCCAATGATGGATCGACAGACGGTTTTTTACAGACAACTTTTGTGCCGTAAGCGCCAATATCAGACTGTGAAGAAAACAGGTATTTTGGCATACGAGCAGATAAGTAGAAAAGTGTGAGATTCAATAACGTCGGAAGATGATAAATAAATGGCTGTTGCTGAAGTCGTGACTTGCTTGATTTTGTTATTTTTTGAATTGACGGATGAATTAGGCAATGTTGCCCCCCGTGGTCGTTCACAACTAATGGTGAAGCACATGCATGCTATATACGACGGTAGGGCAACTAGGATTCGATGACGGATCAGAGTAGACTACACGTCACAGAGGCACGTAATGTATCTTACGGGTCAATATGTGGGTCAAGCAAAATAAGCACAAACGAATGCCGGAGACTTTCTTTATTACCTTGATATAAAGCCCTGGTTTGTGATTCAACAGAACATAAGGTGGCAAACAAATTTGAAGTTAACTCAGATCGATAGTCGATTTAAAATCAATAATAATAATAACGAAGCAAGTAAAGCTTATTACTATTTAGCACTTCGACGTTGCGTATTTTACTGGTGAAACTGGGATACGAAGCCTTCTTTCTTCTGTATCACTGGTGGTACTATTATTATTGTTATCTTATGAATTTTA